AACGGGGAGGGAGGAGGGGAGAGGCCTTGCTAACCCAGGCTCCCACCCACAGGCAGATCCCTCCTTTGTGGGTCCACCCAGGAGCCTCCTGTCTGCAGAGAAGAGGTGGCCAGGCTGAGTTTTGAATAGGGAATGGCAGGTTCTTCGTTCCGGATCCAACACCCCACTTTGAGGCCGCCAGTTCACAAATCAGAGGTGGCTGTTCAGGTAGCAAGGATGTCGCAATCATTCGGTCCCAAATCAACTCCTGTCAAATGCTCGAAAGGCACTCAGCAACAGGTTTTATAAAGGCTGCCATCAAAACGAGCCTCCCACTTGGGAGAAAATCCTTCTCCTTCTGTGTCCTGAATGGGAAAGCTTTTTCATTATTCATCTGTGTCCTCTCTCCTTCCTGGAACTGGAGAAAAATGTCCCCCGCCGTCTCCTTTGACCAGGGTGGGGCAGCAGGGAGTTCAGTTTTCACACACTTTACAGTTAAGCTGCATGGAAACTCTGCGGGGCGGAGCAAGGTCCTGGCAATTACTTCTTGACCACCTGGATGACGTCTTCGTGCTCCACCAAGTGGCTGAGCCCCACTCGCTGAGGGCTGTACTTGGTGCTGGTTCCCTGGAAAGGCAAAGAGAGAATTTTAGGAGACCCAGGCCAAAGGATGCAGAAAACACATTTCTATCAAACAGACCATAAAGGCTAGCTCTGCATGGGTGGGGTTACAGTCCTGACCCAGCCAAAGGGCACGTAGTGGTGGCAGATTTTGAAGGCTGGGGTCCTTATACGAGATGCTGCAGGGACTGAAGCAGCCATCGATGAGCTACATTAAGCTTGGCCAGGTCGTAACAGCCTCGGCTTACTCTCCTGGTGGTGGATCCCTGTTTGCATATTTCAAGGCCCTTTTGCCAGGGGTCGCTAAAGGTCTGCTCTTGCTGCCTTTATTTATTTGATCTGTACGTGCCTGTGAGGAAAACCCTGCTGGACCCAATCCCAGGGTCCAACCAGGCTCGCCAGTCAGGCAGAAGGCTCTCCCAGACCATCAGCAAAAGGACAACAGCTGGTCTGGCGGCCTGGTCTAGCTGAACATGGGCAGAAAAGCACGCGCCGTGCTGTAACCCAGCCTCATTTCTCCAGTCGTTCTCTGGAACTTTATCTCTGAAACACCAGGCAGAATACAGAGGGGATGAGGACACCGTTTCTGAATGTCCTCCTGGGCCAAGCAGTTCACAGCCAATCAAAACGGGGGAGCCTCAGGAGCGAGACGGGACGGAAAGCTTGTCCTTGCTGTGCTGGATTTCCACCTGCAGGGAGCACGGAAGCATCACTGTGTCCCAGGTGGTTCTGCTCCAGGGCCAGGCTTGAATCCAAAGACCTCGCAGTGGGACTGCCACAAGGGAAAGGCAAGACTCCCCACTTCTTCAGCACACACTTACCCACACAAGGGCGTACTTGAATTGATCAGCTAATGTCCGGTGAATTCGATGGCACTGCAAAGAGGAAAAGGCCAGGTGGGCGAGATGGGGGCCTCGTGAATTCTCGATTCAAAGCATCCCACAGCAACAAAGCCGTAGCGTGAGATTCATGCATCCCAACAGCTGAGTTCCCACACCACCCAATGGCTTAGCCCAGCTGCCTCCACTTGGGGCACCCTTCAGATGGGTGGATTTCAACTCCCAGAATATCCAGCCAATGCGGTCCTTGCTGAGGTTGCTGGGAGTTGAGATCCATCTCCCTGGAGGAGGTCTGGATCTGGGGAGACATAGTCGAATGTGGGAAGTGAGCCTAAGACTGAATGAGATTCCCAACAGCGACTGCTCCAGCCCGAGGATTAGATGAACTTGAAGGGCTTACCACGTGCTGTACTGAGGCCCCTTTTCGCAGAATGATGGCATCTGAAAAATCTGGTCTCTCTGCACGGAACGAGGATTTTTGGGTGAGGATAGTTGGAGAGAAGGAAGGAGAGAAAGAAGGAAATACTCGGTTCCCAGCACACTACCAACACTGACCCTTCTTACCTCCCCCCAATCCTCGTTCAAGATCTAGTTTTCTCGGCCATTTGCAGCTTGTTACTTACGGCCTCTTTTCTTTGTGTAGATGCAGGTGAGAGCCAGGTATTCCCACAGCATCTCCAGCAGGTAGTCCAAATTCAGCTTCATTCCACAGCTAGGAAGACACAACTGTCAACGAACGCAGCGATACCTGGTGTTTTGTGCAGGAAGTGGGGGTTCCCTTACCTAATCACTACGCTATGGGACCTCCGAGCCAGGCGGTCAACCTCTTCCATGGAGATCTGATCAATTTTGTTATAAACCTAAATTAAGATGCACAGAAGGGAGAGAAAGATTCACATTGCACGACAGTGTCGATTCCACTCACGTCCCTCACACCAACTTTTTAAAATAGAATTATAAGCCCCCATTCTAGGCAGAGAAATGCCCCGGGACAACTCATTTTATTTTGGAAGAAAAACAATCAGGTGCACCATTTTTCATCAATGTAAGTGCTGGGAACTTTATTGCTTCAGACCAAAACGATATTCTCGTCCCCAAACGTAGCCATCTGGATGCATGGCAAACTGGAAGTGGAAGGACCAAAGGGAAGTTTCTGCTTCATTAGAATCGTGCAACAATTACTCCATCCCATTTTGTTACAGAAGAAAACTTCTCACGCGGTACTCACGTAAAGGCAGGGCATGTACACTCGATTGCCAACAATGACGTCGATGAATTCATCCGCAGTACAGTCTTCCCTGAACAGAACCTCGGCATTGAAGATTTCTTAGGATGGCAGAGGTAAGGCACATCACCTTTCTTAGGAACTCGTGTCTCGTGGCGCTTACGGCCACATTAGCAGAGCGCAGCCAAGATTCAAATCCCAACTCGCTGGGTGAGTATGAGCTTGTCAGCCTCTTTATTGAGCCTCCCTTAAAATACTGGGGTGGGGCCCTTGGGGAGAATAATAGGCGATGCCCAAAGGCCTTGAAGAAAAGGTGAATAGCACGTAATTTAATTTGTTCCTTTTCCTTTCCGGCCCCAGGCTACCATTTATCTTTTAAGTGGCCTCAGATTTCCTGAAACCTGGATGTTAACTCCCATCATCCTTTCATTTTGGAGAAAGGCCAAATAGATGCCAACAGCCTCAAGCGTGGCTGGGCCCCGTCATCTCACTGATTCCTTGTTAGGGTAGCTTCTGCAGTCCTGTTCCATTCTCTCAGACTTCACAGGGCTACGTCCCATTAAACAAAAAATCTTACATGAAATGATTTATGCGTTTGAGGAAATTTAGTTCATAGAGTAGTACTTCTAAAAGGAGAGAAAAACAACAATGCCAGAAAGCTATGTTCTTTTTTCCAGCATCAGTTGTTTACATCCAAATACAGGTAGTCCTCGCTTAACGACTGTTCATTTAACGATGGTCCAGAATTACAACGGCCTTGGGAAAAGTGCTTTACGACCTCTGCTGTCATGTGATTGTGATTTGCAATCTTTTTTACAACAATTGTTAAGCGAATCACTACACCCATTAAGCAAATCACGTGATCGTTAAGCGAATTCTGGCAAAACTGTCCATTGGGAAGCTGGATTCGCTTAATGACATGATTTGCTTAACAACTGTTGTAAAAAGGTCATAAAATCAGCTCCAACCAACCAAATAGCTTAGTGTTTGAAATTCCTGTCCTTATGGTGGTCAGATAGCGAGGACTACCTGCAGCTTTGAAAGAAGTTTCTGTCTGCTGGCCAATTAAATGGGGATTCCACTTTAATCCCAAGATTCTCTCAACTGAAGAAAGCCCAACCCCAAACCTTCTGCCTGAAAAGTACATACAGTCCCAGCCCTGTATCCTGAGCGTCACAAAGCTATGGCTGCAGCCACCCCCCGAGCAGCTGGCTCCAACAGTGCAGCCGCCAGGAGGACCCTGAGAAAGGATACTGTATTCATGGAGGATGAGTTGCACCAGCTTCTCCGAGCACTGGGTCAACGTCACGGTGGAGTTGAAAGAGATACCACCTCCCTTCTTGGGCTGGAGGGGAGGACAGAGGGGCTGTTAGGAGGGTGCTGGAGCATCCCTCACTGTAGGACCCACCACAGGCAAACAACTCTTGGGTCCGTCATCAGACTGGTCTGATATTTCCCTGGCCTGAATCAATTCAAGACGAAAGAAGGGCCTAATCCAGCTTGCTTTTTAAAAACAGATGGGTCTAAGCTTGTGGGAATGCAAATAAAAGCCTGGAGCGACGCCTGATCCCACTTTTCCCCAAACTGACCCTCTGCAATTGTCTGGGATGACAACATGGACCATTTTTGATGATGCATAGTGCTGGGCTGATGGGAATTGGAGTCCAACCATCTGGAGAGCCCAAGCCTCCCCATTCCTCCTTCAGCTGGAGGTGCCAGGAGACCAGCCTAGCTCCCTCCCATAGGGCAAGTCAGCATCAGGATTTTCCTGTTTCTCACCTTGAAGTAGATGTTGGGTTTCTTTTTATTCAGCCTAATGCCCACCGTTTCTAGTTCCCTTTCCAAGAGAGCTCTGCAGGAGGCGACAGGAATCACAACGCGCGGTCAAGCTTTTGCCCAAATCAGGAGCATGCCCCGCAGCCTGGCTATAAACAGCAATGCTTACATTTTGCACATGCATTGAAAACATATTGATGCCACCTTCTAAGGTGGCTGACAAAGGAGAACCCCCAAGTGACAGAGCTCTTCCCACACTATTCTGCCCCTCAGAGGCCCCATCTTTCTGTCTGCTGACCTCTGCACTTCGCCCTTGGTGGCGTCCAGCATCATGATGACAACATCTGCGGTCCGGGCCACAGCAATCACTTGGCGTCCTCGGCCCTTCCCTAAAAACCCAGAAGAAATTACTCTCACAGAGAAGCTACAAAGAACCACAGCACATTTACAAGAGGGTGGGATCTTGTTCATTTTTTCCTGTCCCTTGATCTAAACATAACCTCCTCTCTGAAAGTTGACATAAACACTGCTTTCTCCTAACATAGTTCAAGGATACCTTTCTTCCCCCCACCCCCACCCTCAACAGCTTCTTTGCAGCTTGTGGTTACTTTCAACACACACACACACCAGTCCACTGACTGTCCTGGAGCACCTTCCCCGGCTGCTTTTGCCTCATCCCTGGAGCAACTCTCCAGGGTTAGAAGTTGTTTCACCATCTAAGGTGGAGAGGGAGAGCATGTGTCTCTCAAACAAGCTGTGAACAAACTCAGACAGGGGTTTCACAGGTTGTCTATGTGCTTCTAGGCCTCTCCTGTCCCTGGAGTACCACAGGCCTTTCTTTCTTCAATATACAGACATTTCCTCACTTTCTCCAGGATGAATAGATACTAGGTCCTTCCCTCTCGTGCTCCCTCAGTGTTACTTGAATGCATGTTTAGAATAAAACAGACCTGGGGTGAAAGACCACTATGAAGCACACATTTATTGAATCTGGAACTCACTGCATTCTAAAACTACCAACATAAAAACAGGTGGTCCTCACTTAATGACCACTTGTTCAGCAACCATTCAAACTTGCGACAGTGCTGAATGAGTGGTAGTTACAACTGGTTCTTGTGCTTACAGCCACTGCAGTCTCTCTAAGGTCACATGATCATGATTTGTGACCTTCCCTGCTGGCTTCCGACAAGCAAAGTCCATGGGGAAGCCAGCAGGAAGTTGTAAGTCATGGTCACGTGAAGTCCTTGCTTAAAGACCTGCGCAGTCCTCACTTAACAACAGCAACCAGAACTGCCATCACTAAGTGGTGTGGCCATGTGGTTTTTCGACTGTGCCACTTAATAATGGAATTTCCAGTCCCAGTTAGCGTTGTTAAGCAAGGACTACCTGTATTAACTGTTAAAAAGCAGAAGGAAATCCCAACCTTGAGCAGCTCCTTCAATGATCCCTGGAAGATCTAGAAGCTGGATATTGGCTCCTTTGTACTGCATAGAAATTAAGAAAAATCAGAAGAGGCAGGAAGGGGTCAGAGCAATCCACTACTAAACCATCTCACATGAATTTGAGTGCCAATCCTAATTAACAGCACAGCAGTCTGTGAGCCTTAGGTTCATAGAAACAACAGTATCTACTTTGGGTTAATTGCTATCCAGCAAAGGGCGACCCATTGGAATTGCATTTACCTCTATGACTCCAGGAATGCAGGTCAATGTGGTGAATTCATAAGAAGCTGCTTCACTAGCCGTGGAAGTCATTAAACTTAGAAATGTGGACTGAAAGAGAAGACAAAGATTTAGCAAGCAGCAGGACTTATTTTCAAGGGAGGGAAATGCTACACATATGCAAAGAGGGTGAACTAGGGACTTTAAAAAAATGTAAAAAAAAACTTTACTGAAGAAAAAAATTTGCCTATAAACTGCGTAAAAATACATAGAATAGTTAAAAACACTTAACATTAAAACAGTTAAAAGCACCACACAGGACATACACTGGGTAAAAACAGATACATTTCTCTCCCACCTCTAAGATGACAAGAGGAAGTCCTGTAAAACTTTATACATGGGGTCATGAAGTAGCATAACGTCCATACCTCTTGCTCTGAGAGCTTAAGGGAAGGTGGATTGTGTATACCATTCTGACAGACAGAGCAATTAACCTATCCTTAGATAAATGGATAAACCATCTCATAGAAAACCAAAAACTCCCAGGCCCTGGGCTAAAATGGACAACAGCCTCTTTAGTTAATTACTGGCTGTTTGGTTTGTTGACTTTTGGTTCCAGTGAGCTGTCTTCTCTTTTCCTTTCAGTGCATTTTGTTTTCTTCTAATTTTTATCTGTAAGTTGTCCAGAGTCGCCAAGGAGTGTGCGGCCTCAAAACTGAAATACCAAATAAATTTTTAAAAATAGAATTGTGTATTTCCTAGCCTTCAACTAGGCTATCTATTTATCTATCTATGTATTTACACATACATACATTGAAGAAATTTTTTTTTACAAAGTTAAAAGCTATAGATTGAGAAAAGAGAAAGAAAAAAAGAAAAAAATTTAGAGAAGTGACTTCTGATCTTCTTTGCAGCAGTTACAAACACAGTTAATTCTGTTTCCGCCCCCTCATCCAGGCCTTTCCAATGTTGGGTTTAAAAGGCTACTTTGGCCCTCATTTTGGCTCTCACGGACCCTTCCCCTCCATCTTATCCCTCCTCCCCGCCCAGTTAAGACCTCGGGATAAAGCTCGTCGAAGGCTCTCCTTGAGGAGGACCAAAGCGATCCCCCAAAGCGTCCTTGTCTCCGCTCAGCACTGACCTTACCCACAGAAGGAAAACCGATCAGCGCCACCCGGGCATCCCCCGACTTCATCACATCGAAGCCTTCCCCTTTGGCCGCAGCTGATTTGGAAGGCTCCAGAAGCTGAGCTCTGTACTTGGCAAGCTTGGCCTTCAGCAGGCCCAGGTGGTACTCCGTAGCTGGGGTACAAATGGAGGCAGAACACGCAGATGACGAAGGCGCCAGACTGATTATCTGTTTCGCTTGATTTGCACAGGGCGACGCATGACGTGCCGGTACATTCTGGCAGAACGGGGTGCTCCAGGTCCCCTCCATTCCGCGCTGCCATCTTGTGGGACCAGGGAAGCGTGTCTTCTCTGTCGTGGCCCCCACCCTCTCGACCAGCACCCCCAGAGTTACGGGTGGCCCCCTCTCTCCTGGGGCTCCCCACAGCCCTTAAAACCTGGCTTTGCTCCCAGGCCTGGGGTTCAGGTGTGGTCGTATTTGACAGGCGCCACGCGCACGCTGTGCGGCCCCCTGCTCCCACCCTTGGCACCCCTGTGGCCGGGCGGGGCGGGGACGATGGGAGCGGGCGACGGGAGTGACAGTCCGCCGCTTCCGGAGGCCGGCAGGAGGAG